TGGACAGACTTGTACTCGACTCTAAACACCGAACACATTGTAATCGGTTAGTCGTGGTTCTCCATTGGGGGGGGGGTGTGTGGTGGAATAATGACTTAGAGGAGGATCCGGGTAATGCAATAAAGATTGGTTAAAAGAGTCGTCCCCGCACTGGATCAGGACAAAAAGAGAGAGAATCTTTTTTACCTGAAACTTTCAGAAATCTCTTTACACAGAGGGGACACATGTTGATGTTAGAAGAGACATGAAGAAGAGGGGACACATGTTGATGTAGAAGAGACATGAAGAAGAGGATTTTGCACAATAGGTCCTCTTTAAGTTCAATTGCTGATACTAACTAATTCAGTTTGATTATGTTAAAATCTCTGGAGGCAACCACTTTCATGACTCACCTGAAAGAGCGATCAATAATGGTTATCACATCTCCGTTCTTCAAACGCTCAGACTGCTGCAAAGCCTCTCCGTTGACACGGGTAGGATTCGTTGAGCTCAAATTAGTCAAAACAACCTGGGAGGGACAAACACAAACAATGCTCAAGCTGTCTGTAGTAACTCAAAGCAACAACAAAAAAGTAGCTAGCCTTTTACTTCCATCTAGTTCAATTACAAACCGAGAATTCAAAAGCAATGTTACTTTTATAGAAAAATCGACACAATAAGTATATTGACCAAAATATCAATACATCATTTTGCTTAATGCTATTCAAAAACAAAAATATCTCCAAAATCCAAGATATCGTATTGTAAGTACAAATGTATTGACTTTTATGACCTTTTTAAGACCCCTAAAAAGAAAAAAAGAATCGACAACAGTATAAACCGTTACTGAAACCGTGCATTTGAATATTGGGAAATATTCAGAGCACATTACCCAACATGACTGCCTTGCATTAACAAAACGGTATGGGAGTAGACCAATGGAAACCAATATCCCCCTGCACACTCATTCATTCTGCCGCAGATAATATGGAATACCTCCCCTCCTAAAATTCCAGACCTTTAATATCAAAAAATAAATGTAAGACGTTTAAGACTTTTTAAGGATCCGCGGGGACCCTGTTAAAACAGTGTGGACGTGTTTGGAATGTGTCATTACCTCTTTATTTTCATTCAAGTCAATCCTGCAATGCTCCTTGGATACATGAGGAAGCTGAATACGAATATCGCACTCGGCCACCCTGCAAGATAACAGAAAAGTGGTATGTTAGGTGGATTTTCACTAGGTTTACATGCAAGTGGCGCTTGTTCATAGGCAGGAATACAAATAGTCGATGGCTTTAAGATAAAAGGGAACAATAAAGAGTCCCTTGTGCTTGATGCAAGAACAAGAGCAGACAGGCATGCACGATTGTGACGTTGGCAGCTAAGCCCCGCCCCCAGAGTAAAGAGGTTTTTACAGTACATCTGTTGAACTCAACATGAGGCTACACGTAGTAGGGTTAAATCCTACAACGACATGTGCTTTCTGTCGTGACAAATATGCATTTATTAAGATAATAGCTAGTACAATTAGGATGACAAAAGTTAAAAGGAACTTTGAATCTGAAGTCTGACATAGCACACCAACTTTAAATTCACATTTTCGTGATCTTACCTTCCAAACAAGCATGTTCCAGTAAGAGGAAATTCAGTCCCATCTCCTCCACTCCTCTTTATCACGACAATTTTTCCATGCAAAGGCATTTTTCTAACGTTACCTGGGAACATGTGCAAACACAAGTGTCAAAACTGCTTAACACACAAAAAAGTACATCTTCTAAATGTACATTTACAGAAAATAAAGCATATTATAGATAGAAGCCTTTAACAAAGATGCAACAAAGATCGTATTTTAAAGCTTAACTTTACTTCGAGTTACATAACTGACCGATGCAAGCTATGGATGGTTTTTTGGCAACCATTATGTTTTTACATTTAGTCGACGTAATTAGATGTAATTGTTGCAATTTAGCAGGTAATCGATTGCGTGACTTTAATTAAAAAACACTGCTGACAATTCTGCGAAACCCCACGTGTAGTTTTGCCACGATGTTGGCATTTTAAATCAGAAATAAAAAGACATACGACACAATAAACGGTTTTCAGTAACACATTCAACGCCTAGCTAACGACGAATTCAACATACGTTTAATGGCCTCAGATTGACCGTTTAAAAACACATTTGAAACGTTAATGTTTTTAAACCTTACCTGTAAGTCCGCTCAAAGTCACTTCAACTTCTGGCAATCCATAAACATCTACCGGGACGTGACAAACAGAAATGTTTCTATAATATCACATCAGACTAAACTTATACTGTACCATGTCCTACAATGTACACCGACGAATGGCTAACGGAAGCTATGCTACCTAGTAGATCCGTCCCATGAATTCTCTCAACACTTCCATATAGGTGCCTTGGTATCACTCCGCCACATTGCAAACATTCAGTAAATAAAGAAATCGCCCGAATTAACTAATGTTTTCGGAAATTATATATACATGTGTTTTATGTTACTTCGTTTTAAAGTGCTTTCTTGTTTTTGGTCTTCATTTTTTAGTAATATTTACATTGTAGGGACTATTTTGTTTACGAATCGGCGGAACGATCTCACTTCAGTAAAGGCAATATTTTTTGAAAAGGTTTGAAATCCCGCGCGAAGGATTCTGATTGGTTGAAACGTGACAACTCGGTTATAGGGCGGGGCAGAGCCAGAGCGTTATAATATAGCCCAGATAGACCAATCACTGGGCTACTTCCTGAAAGCAAGGTTTGGCAGATCCAATGTTGACCTGACATATATTTATACAAGGCTACAATATTTATAAAGTCCCGCATTATTTTTACGCTCAGACTTGGCTAAAATTGTCAAAATCAGTTATATAGCTATTGTAGAGGATATCATGAAGCCTTGTTCCGATACAAAAAACAAGATACCCGAACACAACATAAGGGAGAATGTACATAATTAAAACATGGAGAGCTTCTTCTGCACACTGCCCCGTATCAGAATAGTATAGTCTATTGGAAGTTATATTCCTAAATGTAAATTATTGATGCATTAATAAAGTATGTTCGTCCCTGTAATGTTGCAGCAGGCAAAGAGGAGCTTATTTAAACACACACACACACACACACACACACACACACATACACAAATACATATATTTTTTTTCTCACACTGTATAAACGGCTGTGCCCCAAGGCATTAACAATTGATTGCAACTATCATTTATGATTTAAAATGGCTTTATACCTAATATTACCCAGGTTTAAAATCAGAATAAATCGGACAATACATAAAGGGAGAAAAACATCTTCTGGCTCATAATTCTGTGCAAAGCATGCAGCCTGTTTCAGGGTCAATACGTTATTCTAGACAGAGGTTGTTCGTGCCATCTTTTTTGTGAGTAATCCATTATAGGCCTAAAGGCAAGTATAGATTATTCGGTCTGGGCCTAGTCCACACCATCAATACAAATTACTCTGGGATGTTTCTTTTAGCTTCCTCTTGAAAAGAACTTCAATTATGAACATATTCAGAATGTAATAACAATATACATATAGTAGGGCTTAACCTCGTACAATAATCTGTTAATCCAGAGCCTGGTTCAGGATGTAAAACGTTTATGTCATTTAATTTACTTTTACTAAAGAGTGTGTAAATTGAGCTCAAATGGCAAAACAGGATAATTGCAATAACTATAAAAGAAACGGACAGTACACAATACAGTTGGCAAACGCTTTACAGTATTTAATTGAGCATGTGTGTGTTTTACTGCATATTAATTAAACTTTCAAATGAAGGATGCATGATTTCTGACTGAAAATGTACACATTTTTTACTTGATATTAAGAACAATCATTGTCTGTTATTTATAACGTGAGTGATGATGTGAAAGGTGTAATGCTTTATTTCATTATCAAGAGGGAGCTGTTTACTCTTGTTAGCTGTATAGCTGCTATACAAGATAAGAAGCTCAAAGGTTTCAAAGTGTTAACAAAGTTGATGACTGCCTCTTCATTTTATCTTAATCGATGCTTATGATGCATGAAAACCTACAGTACAGAGGACCCCTTTGTAGCAGAGAATGAAAAATAATTACACACAGGAACAACACACACATTTAATATTAAATGTTGGTTTTATTTTAATCTTTTTTTTTTGTTGTTTTGTTTTTTTCCAAAGTCGCTTGATAATCTTGACAAAATTGCAACATATTCCATATTTCTCAAACTGACGGTGTGTCTGTTGCTATTCCAGATTAGCTGTGGAGGGAAAAGTTGTGCGCTGTTCTGGACAGGTGAAGTCCTAAATGATGAAAGCAGCTTTGACCGTACAAATAAAAAGAACACATGAAGGACTCTGAGAGAATCCACACTGGCATCCTATGTCGTAACGTTGCAGGGTAAGTGTCTCTCTGCACAGGTCCTGGTCTGCCAGGCCGAACAAAAAAACGAGTGAAATAAAATTCAGGGGCTCAGTAGCAGACATGTGTGTGTGCATCTGTGATAGGAGGGTTAAGGGGGGGTGCAGCACAGAAACATAGAACAGGCCAAGCACACAAAATGATTCCTTCCTGAGACATTGGCGTGTGTACAGTAATGATGGTCTAGATGAAACGTGTGTTATCGGTGAAGGCGTTTTGGCGTAAAGTGAGTCACAGGGTGCGAGGTTGCTCTGGATCCGGCAAAAAAAGTCACATACTCGTTTCTACCACAGGTTGCCAGGGGAACATTTGTGAGGACTTAGTTGACAAACATCACATTTGGGACCTTCACTTGCCTGACCGCTGAGAGAGCAGAGGCATCACTACAATCTATTCTTTTCCCATCCACTACAGATTATTGATCCATTCAGAGGCTACTGAGAATCTCTTGTGTTTAATACAGTGTGTATGTACACCATTCTTCACATTTGAACTCTCTTTGAAGCTGAGCTGCTGTGGCTCACTTGAACCTGGCCGGCTCCAAGTGACGTCCGGCTCACCATTTTCAGAAAAACACCATTTCTTTCTGCTACACGGCCAAAAAAAAGCTATGCCCCGACTGGAGTGCTACTTTGTCAATCTACTGTATGTAAAACATCTTTTAAAAGTGAGAGGGGGGAGGTTTAAATTGTCTGTGAAAGCCACATCCTGAACAGCCAGTGATTGGTTAAGAGTCTGTCCAGTATTTAGTGCACAAAACATGAAAGAACTTCCTTCAGTAAAATGTGCTCAAAATGTATTTTCTTGCATCACAAACCTATAAACAAAAACACATAAAAGGTATTCTTAAAAAAAAAAAAAAAAATCAGGTGAAGCCTAAAACTCTTCATAGTTTTAAAGAAATGAATACAGCTTATATACACAAACTCAAAGGCTACTTAAAATACACCTTAATAATGAATCTTCATTAATTTGATTTCTTGAAAGGACCTGTGACCATATCATACAACCAAGTTCATACAATCATTTTTTTTCCATTCTCTTGGAAGCAAAAAAAGAAAAAAGGAAAACAAATCCAACCTGGAATAGTAGGTGATATTCATTGCGACTTGTTTTCTGTGCACATTTGTGTGTGTGTGTGTGTGTGTGTGTGTGTGTGTGTGTGTGTGTGTGTGTGTGTGTGTGTGTGTGTGTGTGTGTGTGTTTGCATGTGTAGACTGGAGAGAAATTTCAACATCTTTTGCTTTTCCTTAATTAGAATAATGTACAAATGTGATAAAACTGAAAGGTCTCTCAATACTCTCGATGGGTATGAAAAGATTCAAACAGTGAAGGAGTACAACCATTTCTACTCTCAGAAAACATGTCGTCATTTCAACCTGCCATTCTGTTCCGGACGTGTCCATCACAATAACTTTTTTCTATATATATTTATATATCTTTTGTACGAAATCTGTCTTTTTTAAGTTGGAAAAAGAGAAAAGACCCAGAGTCTTTGAGGAGGGGGGGTCTTTTGACAAGTCCCAAGCTTGCAGTCTGCCTCAGAGTTCAACAAAAAAAAGTGTCTGGTGTTCATCAAGTTAGTCTGAATGAATTGTCCTTGATCATACATCTGTCCCGCGCTGCCCCGCCCACTCTCGATCCCAATCAAAACTGATCGCCACTGCATCCGTTTCCATGAGTCTTTGGGAGAAAGGTGGAGAGGGGAGCAGCAGCAGTGGAGGAGAGAGAGTGGAGGGAGAAAGGGGGAGGGGGAGTCTTCAGCAGTGTTTACGATTTGGTCTCTCAGAGGCGTCCTGTCGCCCCGGGCCGCCCCGGCCTCACCCCCCCTCACATCAGGACGGTGAGGAAAAGGCAGATCAGGAGGTGAGGGGGGGGGGTTGTGTCGTAAGGAGAGGAGGAGGTTGGCTCTGCTGGTGTTCAACAGTCAGGGTCCAGGCGCCGCCCCCCCCTCCTTCACCCCTTCCTCTTAAGAACGCAGAGGACATCGTGACGGAAAATAAAAAAAATGTGGGCCGCTTCTACGGCGATTGTGTGGCGGGACTGCTTTGGGCCGAGCTGGGGGACAGGCTGGGGCGCGCTGCAGGAGCCGGGGGGGGCGCCGCTCGCCCGGCTGCTCGCCGCCGCGCTCTCCAGACCTTCCGAGTTCTCCAGCATCTCCTGGATGAGGGGGGGCATGGAGCCGGGGATCTCCATCTTCAGGGTGATGACTCGCTCGGCTCCTGCAGGGTGGGGGAGGGACGGGGAAATGTCAGACACCAAAGATCTTACAAAATACATGTTATACATTTTTTTCTGACACAATTTTGATGACTCCAGCAATTTTGTATGACTCCAATATTCACTTGGTCATTTACAACAATGTCTGCAACTTCTAGCTTATTGTAATTCTTTTTTTGACATGTATATAGTGTACTTTGTCTGCCTTACATAGGGTAACTACATAACCTGCACTATTTATTCTACTCGGCTTCTTCTTGCAGTATTTTCTATAGTTTTTTTAATTTGTTTTATTGTTTTACGTCTTATATATAATATGTTGCAATGTTGGAGGAGTCTTGGACTTAAGATTTTCATTGCCACAACTACATTGTAGCTACTGTGCATATGACAATAAAGCCTTTGAATCTTGAATATGGCATGACATGGAGAAAAACAACCAAATCAAATGAATTAAATGTCATTTGATAAACATTTTAAACAAGGTTTCAGCCTAACTGAACAATAATTGAATCAACTTCTTTTTCTAGCGTTATATACACATAAACAGCAGTGACGGACCTTTAGCGCTGATGCTCCTCAGATCGGTGATCTTCATCAGCATCTTGGGGAACATGTGCGGTTTGTGGGGCCTCCTCCTCCTTACGTAAATCTTTAACGCCTCTAGTAAAGGCTCCTGCAGGACGTCCACCTTCTCTGCCTGTTCCAAGTCCTGACGATCTGTGAAGAAACACAGAGTACAGATACTGTCATGATCACAGTCATCCACTAGGTGGTGCTCAAAGACAGAGCCCAGCAGTGCCTCCATACTGCTATTTCACCCAGAGACAAAGTCCAGGGTCCTCAACTGATTATGTCATAGACTGTCAATTGGTACAGAGAATGTGCAATAGGTTTTGAGGAGATGTGCCATACCTCCACAGAGCAAACAGATGGCGCTGAGCAGCCCCGTCTCTGCGTCGTCCATCTCCAGAGGAAGGAGCTGGTTGGCAAAGGCAAAAACCAGGTCGGTGAGAGGGCCGAAACCTGCGTTGTGCATCTGGGTTCGATTTAGCGTGAGTCCATCTGAGAAAGTCATGGTGTCCTGCTCTGGTGTGTAGCGCGTACAGATCCGGAGTATCTGTGGAAAACAGAGAGAGAATTGGTTAAAAATTACAACAAACACTTTCATTTAATCTGTTTTGTGATTTATTTTTAATAGAATGCTGGGGGATGGTTTCCTACCAGGATGTCCAGACAGGCGGCCTTTAGCAGAGTGATCTGGTCGGCGATGGTGAGCGTTGTGAAGCCGGGCAGCTGCTTAGCAAACTCCACCGTCTTTATGATGCACTTGGTGGAGAGTTCACTGAACTTGTCCCACAGGTTTACGTCCAGAGATACACGTCGTTCTGAGCTGTTACTCTGGAAGGTTCGGGAGAGGGGAGGAAAATGTTTTAGATACTTCCAGTACAGGTGACAATACACTACAGCTAATAAAGGTGAACCACACAGGTACACATGGAGCGTAGTGGTACTGACCGTAGTGTATTTGCCCAGCTGGCACAGGGAGGGAAACGTTTCCTTGTGTGCCTTTCGAACCCGTTCGATCATCCTCTCCGTTTCAGGACTCAGCACGTAGATCTCCATGCACTCCGGCTTCTTGTCATCCTTCTTCTTTTTGTTCCGATCGTTCCTCACTGCTACAGGGGGGACACAAGAGGACATGATGATTACTATGTGGAAATCAAACACAAACATCAGCTCTTGACAAGTGTAAATATCTAAACTTAAATAAAGAGGTTGATACGTTTTTTTTAGCTACAACTAAAGAAAATCACTGATATAGAAAATAACTATGAGTGACGCACGATACAAACGTAAGTTCAAACTATTTTTGATTGTTTAAGGACTATTGAATTCAAAAATGGGGAAAAATATGGAGAATTTCTGCTTTATTCTTTTCTATGTCATACCTTTGAGTCGGAAACTGACAAAACAGAAGATTTAAATGCATCCGTTTGGACCAAAGATAATGGGATGGACATGATTTTGTAGAAAGGTTTATCAGTTAATCTAGGCAATAATCATCAGAATAATCAAAAACTACAACAATAGTTGGTTGCACACCTCATACAGAACACGCACTGGAAACCAAAGTCATGCGGCCTTCATCTGCTAATTATTAAATATGTTCTTGTCTGAAAAGGTATTGTTACGTGCTAACAACCACACTGGTTTTATGTCCCGCACAGAAACTAGCACAAGGTAAACTGAGATCAGAGGCAGAGTCCTCAGCAGGAGAGGAAGCAAACAGCCTCTCTTATCCTGCACTGCAAGATAAATGTTGTGAGACAGCTCCATCGCAATAGGGCTATTGGAAAAAAAACCTTGAAATAATCCAATGTGGTGTTGCCTCTGGGCGATCAGGCTGAGAATAGTGTGCTCACCCCCAAATGACAAAAAACACTAGGCGGGGTGTTTAGCATTGGAATCCCATTACAGCCTCCATCCATTTCTCCTATCCAGACTGGGGTGCAGTTTAGCTATGGCAGGGCAGTGTGTGTGTGTGTGTGTGTGTGTGTGTGTGTGTGTGTGTGTGTGTGTGTGTGTGTGTGTGTGTGTGTGTGTGTGTGTGTGTGTGTGTGTGTGTGTGTGTGTGTGTGTGTGTGTGTGGTGGGGGTGGGATGGGTGAGACGGGGTGCTAGTTGATAAATAGTGGTGGGGGATGGAGCCATCCATAAGGCTGACAAATTGCCACAGCTTTCATTAGGGGTCCCGGCTAATCTAATAACATAATATGACAAATATCCTGCCTCTAATGGTTTTAAAAGGGCTCGGCTCCACACCGGAGAAAACCTTCCAGCTCTTTCACTCTTCCTCTCACGTCTCTCTCTCTTGGTTATACAACACACGCTCTCTTTCCTACTCTCATTTCTTTCTCACCGCCACACTATCCCCCCTTTCCAAAATTGTATTTCTCGTGCATTAAATCATCCCACTTTCCGAAACTCATCTCTATCAGCCCTCGCATCTCTAACTCCCCTGGAGGTACCTGAATCTCCCCCTAGCAGCTGACCTGAGATCAGATTTTCCTTGTCTTAATCCTAACCTTGACCATTAAGGGTGAGAGCGCTCGGGCTGATGGGAGATCAGTGCCTGTGACAGAGGGGCATGGCCCAGGGCCAGCGAGGGATGCACCACTCGGCGCTGCTGCACATCCATCAGCCCGCAGACAGGCCTCCCTGCCTGGGAGGACATGAAGGGAAGGAGGGGGGCGGGGGCTAGAAGTCTGATGCTGCAGACTGTTATTGCTAAGCACTGCTCACCACAACAAGAAAAGAAGAAGACCCCGCTGTGCAGATGTATTAATGGCAACCGTGTGGTAGGCTAGTGTAGCCCACAAATACATGTTTATATGCAGCAGGAAACAGTGTGGTGAAGTGACACAAAACCTCATTTTATACGTTAAAGAGGTATTTTTATGACCTATTTCAATGAAAACAAGCAAAATAAATAAATAAAATGCTTCCTTTTACTTTTATGAGCTAATTATGTCTTAGTTAATGAAGGAACTCCCTCTTAGGCAACACTCAGCTTTTGAGTCCAGTCCCATAAAACTGTAGTGCATTTGGGCCAGCCCCGCTTGTGGTGCTGATAGTGGATCCTGTTTCCCATGAGGGAAGGAGTGGGGGGGCTGCAACACAGTCGATGTCCAATTAATTCACAAATAAAAGTGGGGCATCCCTAGCGCCCAGACATTACCCGCGCTGACAAATTGGCAGCACAATCATAAGCCGCACAACACAATTTAATGAAGTCATTAAAGAACTATTAGGCACGACTGACGATCTGTCATGGCGAATTGCCACATGCAATAACTTGGGTTGGGGGGGCGGGGGTGACTGCAGCGGGGGAGCGAAAATGAAAGAAATACTGCCTCCTTTTTTTTTTTATTATGTGTGTGTGTGGACCCGAATGTGCATTTGGTGTTTGTGTGCGTGCTAACTTGGAGCAATGCATCTTTCAAAACGCATTATGGGAATATGAATGCTAATGGGGCAACTTGCATCCTAGATTGTTTGCGGTTACGTGTTCATAGCATAAAAATGATTTACAAGAGTCTGTGTGTAGCGCGTACAGAATACTGTGACAGCACACACACACTGCCATCACTCAATCACTGGTTCTCATAGTGGATTTCAGCTGCAGTGTGCAGTTAATGGACAATTTCTGTTAGTGCCTTTGTGTGTAAGTGTGCGTGTGTGTGTGTGTGTGTGTTCATGTTTATGGATTCAGGTGCCACAGTTAATGACATGAGAGGTGTGAGAGAGGTGCAGAGAACGATATGAAGGAAGGAGGGTCAGAGATTAAAAAAACAACAAAAACTTTTTGAAATCTTTTTTTGAAAACTCCATTAAAGAGTTTTGTGATTTAAACTGGTGTGACTGTAATGTTCACGAGTGACGCAACACCTTTCAGAGTACAAGAGTGTGTGTGTCCAGGTGCAGCAGTGCCTGTGTGTGTGTGTGTGTGTGTGTGTGTGTGTGTGTGTGTGTGTGTGTCAGGTAGTGATAGATTGCTCTGGACATCCATCTAATGACTCCCTCCGGTTTACTCATGAAGCGAGGCCTGTCTCTTCAGCGAAGCGAGGCCTGTGATTGGTCAATGCCGAGCTCTCGCCTCGTCTATCGCACCAAATATTTTCAGAACGACAAGTCACACGAAAGTTTTGTGGGAAGTGTCAAAGTTGAGTTGCCAGGGGGATAAGAACAGAGACCCAATTGAAAATATGGATATTATTTTATGGATTTTCGTTGAGATAGTTTTTAGATTTTGAACGACTTAAACATTCATAATAACGTACAGAGACGGATAATCATGGTAAAAAGAGGGATACTTTTGGTAGAAAGATTGATTATACAGTAATGGTAAAAAGACGGATAGAAAAGGAACATTTGGTACACAGATGGATAATAATTCTTCCCACTATACTGTCATTTGAAAGTTTAAAAAGTTGCTCTAGTATAAAACATTGGGTGACGTTTGCATGCTGTAATGAAATGATCCATGTTAGACTATCCAGAGGTCATCTCAGGTATGTGAGGCCTGCAGCAAGTGTGTGTGTGTGTGAGACCTGCAGCAGTGTGTGTGAGACCTGCAGCAGTGTGTGAGACCTGCAGCAGTGTGTGAGACCTGCAACAGTGTGTGTGAGACCTGCAGCAAGTGTGTGAGACCTGCAGCAAGTGTGTGTGTGAGACCTGCAGCAGTGTGTGAGACCTGCAGCAGTGTGTGTGAGAGACCTGCAGCAGTGTGTGTGTGTGTGTGTGTGTGTGTGTGTGTGTGTGTGTGTGTGTGTGTGTGTGTGTGTGTGTGAGACCTGCAGCAGTGTGTGTGAGAGACCTGCAGCAGTGTGTGTGTGAGACCTGCAGCAGTGTGTGTGAGACCTGCAGCAGTGTGTGAGACCTGCAGCAGTGTGTGTGAGAGACCTGCAGCAGTGTGTGTGAGACCTGCAGCAGTGTGTGAGACCTGCAGCAGTGTGTGAGACCTGCAGCAGTGTGTGAGGCCTGCAGCAGTGTGTGTGTGTGACCTGCAGCAGTGTGTGTGTGAGACCTGCAGCAGTGTGTGAGACCTGCAGCAGTGTGTGTGTTTTACGAGTCTGCAGGTCTATAAAGCAGCCAGGAAATCGTGCTGAGACGAGATGTTCTCCGCCGATACACGACTAAAAATACACCAGAGCTAAAACAAGGAGCAGGTAAAGAGATGTTTTTCTGTGTAACACACACACACACACACACACACACACACACACACACACACACACACACACACACACACACACA